CCCTGATCCGGCCGCTGGTCAGTTTTAGCAGCAGCTGAATCCGGGAAGCTGGGGGCAGAGCAGCTCCAATGGTCCGGCTGTACGGAGCACTTCCGGGTTCCTGATGGTGCTGGACCATCAGATGCCGGACCATTGGAGTTTTACTGTATATTGGACAAACTGGACAGTCCCTATAGGAAAGAATCAATGGACACAAATCAGATATACGTAAAGGGAACATACAGAAACCTGTTGGGGAACACTTCAATCTACCTAATCACTCCTTAAAAGATCTCCAGGTGGCTGTCTTGTCACAAACCAGTTCTACTAGCCAAATACACAGGAAGGCATTAGAATTACAATTCATCCAGAATACATCCACAAATTCAGTTCTCACTCTGATCATCATCTCCTCAATCGGGACAATGGATGGCTGGGACATTACCTACCTAACATTCAATGAAGGTGCCAACAGCTCTCTGTGTGGATTCTTGTGTTAGTTCCCTTTTATCCTTATCTGCTTCCTTTTAACTATCCAATCTTCAGGTGCTTATAGGCACCAGCTCTGCCTACTTGTTTTTCCCTTTGATATTTTCAATCCCTCTGCTCTTTGTTCCTGCCCTTCTCTCCTATTTATTTTGGGTCTGCACATCCTAAACTCATAACTCCGGTCATCTGAAGAAGCGGACTGTGCCCATGAAAGCTCATGATCCCATCTACATGTTTTGTTAGTCTATACAGTGCTACCAGACCATTTGTTGTTTATTAGATCTTAGATTTTTTTTTTAGCTCACTGGTCAGATCTCTTTCTAGTCTTTGCTTTAAGGCTACAGAATGCAGACTTGCAGGATTGTTTTACTTCTTTTGTTTGGAAGTATTAATGGCAAAATGTAAACCTTAGGAAGTGCTCCCAGAAACTGAAGTAATGGATGACTTGTAGATGCATGTAATGAACAGGAATGAAAGATAATACATAATGTATTAATATTCTCCATCTTCAACATACATTTAAACACATCCATAAGGATTGCCTGCATAATTCTGGGTTTAACAGTCATCGTGCTTACCATCAATTCCAAGAACATCCAGCACATCAGTCCATATTCTCCAGAATGTGTCTACTAATACATCCACACCGTAAACAAATCTTTCTGTCAGCCTAGAGAAAAACTGTAAAATAAAATGCTACTGTAAAGAATGGCCATTGGAAATCAAGCTTGAGGGGTTTATACAGTTTATTCAATGTTCAGTCTATCAAAAATATTTTTGTGATCAGTCAAGGTACATATATATTTCCCATTACCATAGTATCGGAGGGCCTCCAAGTGTTTTAAGAATAAATGTAGCAAATCTCTCTTCCCTTTCAGATTACAGGAAAAACTGACTTAAGATAGGTTTTTGTTCACCTGCTTGTTCATATTCGCATGTTATTTGCAAAAAGTCCTTAACTGGTTGTGAAAACCAAAAACTGTCTCAATGCAATTCTCAGATATTTACTGAAAACCTGACGTGTCTAAAATCAATATCTACACAAAACTTTACTGACAGTGCAAGTTATACTCATTCAATTCAGTAAATTAACATACCTTTATGTTACTATGATACAGAGGGAGTTCAGATTGGGAATTGTGAAGTTAGAAGACTGAATGAGAAAATGAATACACCTGAAGGCTGATTTGGTTTCCATTGGGAACAGCCTAATCTAAATTTGTTTTCAACATTACAATACTTGTTAGTTTTATTTCAGTTCTTGCATGTATCCCTTAAGAATAGCAATCCTTGAGACATGAATCCCTGAGAAGTGTCACACAAAACTGGGAAAAACACCTGCAGCCTCTCAAAGCTACACCAAGTTTTCAGGTCAAAATTTTGCCAACAATAGTAACAGCCTCCAGAAGGCTACCACTATAAACTTCTTGAACAAAAAGCTAACTGATTATAAATGAAAAAGATGGATATTTGCCAGTTTGCTTCCTCTAATCCAGTGTTTCTCAAAGTGGTCCACGAAACCACTTTGAGAAACCTGTTAACTGGCTGCTTTGGGGTTTTTTCTTACTGGTGCTGCAGCCACAGAGCCTCATGGCTCCCATTGGCTCCGTTTTGCAGGT